CCAGACCTAATTTCTGAAGTGATTACGATATGGCTTTTCATTCAATAATGACGGGTCCTATGAACTCTCTGGAAAAGAGAAACGACAATGCAGGCTGCCCAATCCCAAACGTGAATCTCAAAAGAGAGTTAAATATGACAGGCACTTATCTAAAGAAACATAACTTTCTTTAGAATCTTTAAGATGAAAATATACATATCATACAGTGCGCAATGCAAATTTAATCCAAGTACTGAGCTTAAATTCAAGTGTTCTGTACTTATAATAAGGGATTTGAGGAAACATAAAAGTATATACTATATAGAATGTCTGGACCACAAAGTTGCCCAAATGCTATTCATTCTCCCACATACCACGCAACAACAAGAAGCCTTTTGTTGAACTTATCAAGTTTTGCTTTCAGACTCCATCTTTTGCTTTTCTTCTTTTGTCAGGATTCTCAAAAGTCATCACTTTCTGATGCACTTGTTATTTATATTTTTATCTTTTCTAACCTTTTCCACAACTCAACTTTCAATCTGATGGGATACCACAGTAAACATGAACATGTCCATATCGAGGTTGGCTAATGTGATGCTTCCACTACTCTCTAACAATCACACAGCTATCAGCTATTTTACCAATCCGTAAAGTTAAATGATAAAAATGTATAAAATTCATAACAGAATAGATTTTTTTTTTCTTGTTAAATGAAACATACTCAATAAGGTTATCCTGACAACTAAAACAATTACACTCCCACATGAGCTGCAAATAATAAACCAAGAAATAACAGATAAGGTTGAAATAACTTAACTTGATGCAGTCAACCTTCTCCACAAGACCCAAAACCAGCACAAACAGCAAGAAAAGATGCTTCCTTGACTTATTAAGCACATTTCACCTCTCGAGAAGCATCACTAGTTCACAATGGTTCGTATGAGGAAAAAGATCAACAGCCATGGATTTTACCGGCTTAAATGGCTCGGAATTAGGCATGGACTTTGCCCTGCGTCTAGCCAGACCAGCCGAACTTACGTTTTTCCATCCCCTGTTCTTGTTATTCCCTTTCTCGGTCGTAAGGGGAGACGGTGTGCAGAGCTCGATAGCATTTGCCACCAGACTCTCGGGATTACAGGAAATGTATCTGGAAAAAGGAGAATGGGGTTAGATTTTAATTGTATTATAGGTCATTAACACCAAAAATATTGCAGAAAATACCAAGATACAACAACTCACACAAGCCTCCTCAGACGAGATTGTGTCCTCAGAACTTTGATTACCTGCATTTTCACAAAAAATAAATAAAAATAAAAAAATGTGTTTCTAATATGTTAGTGCAAAAGACCCGCATTTGTGTGATTTCCGCAAAATCACAGCTGAGAAAGTTGGAATCAAGGGCAAATATATCAAGAGAAAGAGCAAACGTGTCGTTGTTAGTAAAATTCGAAAAGGCCACTTACAGTTGGATGAAGTCCAACGCGTGGAGGATCAACTATAGCAACGATATTTGTAAATTGCCAAATCGGGTTATTTCCACTTTCAGAAGTGCAAAAATTCTCCAACTGTTTTTCATCTTTTGGAGATTTAGGGGCAATGCTACTGCTTTTCTCATGGTCAATGGTTGAGCTATCGCCATTTCCTGTGATACAGTCAGCAGAATCGGAATCTTCTTCAGAAGGCTTGATTTCAGGCTCCTCATTTCCTAATGTGTTCGTTTCATCTTGGTTTTGGGGTAAAGATAGGTACTCTTTCATCAACGACCCAATAACATCTTCAGCCTAATAACACATTGAGGACCATTAAAATGCAAATGGATTAAACAATTCCAAATGGTGCGATTGGATATACTGTAAAAATTTCCCCGATAGCAAGAAAAGATTACGGGGGTAGTACAATTAATAATTTTTCCCATGTGAATGGATGTAAGATGAAAAATAATGATTTTAAAGTTGATATGATAGAAAAACAATAAAATAGATCTATAGTTAGAACGTAGTGGATGAATGGTAAATTCTAACAGAAAATGTGTTGTAATGGTTGGGTTTGATGCTATAAAATATTGATAAATAGAAGAGAGAAGTGAGTGAAAAGTGTATTTTTCCTTCAGGTGGATGAAAATTAAATATATCTGATATTCAATCACACCTTAATGTTCATCCCAGGGAGTTCAGTAAAAACAAAATACAGAAAAAAAAAAAGGAAAACGAAATACAAAAAAGAGAGAGCCAACTCAAAACCTTTCCACAGACAAATCTGCAGTTTTTAATGCCATTGATTTCTGCATTCCTCTGAGCGTCTGAAACAGCAGAAGCATTCATTTCAATGCCAACAACCTGAAAAAAAATTGAGCTCAAAATCACTCTAAAATAAGTAAGAAAAAACTGACAGAACAGAAGAGACGTGATTTTTATAAGCGACCAGATCCAACAGTTAATCATGACAATAGCATATGAAATAAAGCATGAAATTAGTTATTTCTTCCCAGTTTGTTATACATTTCCCATTTCAACAGGACAAGTTCACATCCAAACCGCTCAAATTACCAATAATTGAGAAAGAGGCGCTGAAAAGCATTACCATACCAACACGGTCGGCTAAAGTCAGGCCAATTGTCCCAGTCCCACAGCAAACATCGAAAAGTAAAGTGTTGGGGCCCAACCCAGCCCAGTCACCAGCAAGCGAATATAACTTCTCAGCAGCAAGAGTGTTAACCTGCCAAATTCAGATGCCATATTAATGTTGATTTATTTTTACAGACTTTGTACTTTTCTTCCTTCAGGTCCATAGTTTTTGCTAGTAGTTGCCCCATTAAGAATGCTGAGTTCTAAGGGAAAACATTGAAAAAATTCTCAGGTAAATTTTACCTGAAAGAAGGCCGATGGAGATATTGAAAACTTAAGGTTGCTTATGTGATCATGAATTCTTGGTTCGACAGCATCATTAGCTATTTCGAGTCCACAATCAATCCCTTTCCGGATGAAAACATACCGCAAAGGAGCATCAGAAGGGGCAGCATTGGAAATTCCTATGTGATCCTGCGTATATGAAAAGGACATGCAGAACTTAGAAATGCATACAATTTCAAATACTGACAATATTTTGCAGAGGGACTCAGGATTATATATGTTATACGCAGTAAATGCAAGGGTAACATAAAATGAATTGAGCACTCGTGACAATCTCAAAGCTTTTGAAGTCCCTAGTTCAAACACACACCGCAATCAGCAAGGAAAAAAGACATTTTATTATATAGTTGTTTTATTTTGAGCCCATGACGAGATGAAGTGAAACTGTCAGTGTGAGCGTCCTGGGAGCTTTTTATTTGCATCTGAAGAAAAAAAATTTATTCCCCAATATTGTAACAAAAAGGAGATTCAAATGAAAAACAAACATTGAAATTGGGAACTGTTCACTATCTAATTATCGAGAACCTTGGATTCACAAATGTGTTCAGTAAAGTTAAGCACACAATACGAGTAAGTAACTAGTAAGCTAGTCATCTCAGGACTGAAGGGTTTATCTCATGGAGAACACTGACTTTACATAATCAGGGATGGCCACAAGTGGAACTGAGAAATAGAAGAACAATTAATCACGAACTATTAGGAAAAAGATGTTGTCCATTGCAAATGGAGCTAGAAGAGTCATTGTTGACAATTCTCCTGGCATAGTGCAAATAATGGACTAGATCAAAATGGCTCAATTAAATTCTAGTGCTTCTTCTATTAGTGAAGTTTCTAGAAAAAAATAATAATATATATATATATATCAAACGGCGAAATGCACCTTGGTCGCTACGGAAACAACCTCCTTGTATAATTACAAGGGGAAGGTCTGCGTACAACTGACCCCCCAGACCCCAACCTGTTGCGAATATATTGGGTATGTTTGTTGTTGTTGTTGTTGTTGTTTATTAGGAAAAAGATAAATATCAATCAGGTATGTATATTTAATATTCAAAGTGTATAGTACCCACTGATGTAAATGATCCATGTCCACTTAACTCCAATTAGATATTGCTTAGCCACTAAGGGGGCGATTGGCTACAGATATTATCCTGACCGGATAATTTCTTTACTCTTCAACTCAAACTTAACCCAACTTAGCTCTCCTCAATATTATCAATATAATTAAATAATATCAATCAATCATCCTCACTGAGATACTTTAGTTCACTATTCTCTATTCACATATTTTTAACAACCTATCATTACAAGTAACTTCTCTCATACTTTTATCGCATCAACTTTAATCACTACATTTTAAATATTATTTACATACAAACTTTAAATCCCACTCAATTCTCCACTCAATCAAATTTATTCAAAATTAACTCACTTTAACTAATAATCCAATCAAACTCGGTTTTATTTATATCCACTCGCGCCCTAAGCCCCCTGTGACATCCTATATTTTTATCGGATAATACCCACCTAGCACTATATAAATTCCACCTAACCCGCTAGGCTTTCATTTGATCATGCATAGGAGCTAGGCACTAGTTTACCAGTAGCCTTGAGAGAACCTAGCGACTTTTAAAACACTACCATTCTTATTGTGACCCTTATACTTCGATCACAACCATTTATAGATCTGAGTGAAAATTCTTATATCAAGAAGCCAAATTACAAGCTGATGCAAAGCAGAAACATTACACAACTAACTATAAAACTTTGCGATTCGAAATTCTTACCTGAATTACAAGTGCTGTAAGAGGTAAAAGAGATTCTACTGATCCCACAGAAAATGCTTGAGCCAAATGTACAATTTCATCTTTAACAATTTCATCATCAATATTCACCGTACAAACCTGCATCATAGTACAATACGATAATATACGGGAAAAGGAACAAAAAAGAAGGAATTAGCACATCAACTAATGAAGTTTGAGTTTAGAGATTTGCAGTGCAAACTCCAACTTTTCAAAAGATCATCGAAATTGTGGTCATCTATGCAGACAATTGATGAATATTATTAAAAGGGAAAGAAAGAATGAAGGGTTGTCAAATCAATAGACAGGCTGTTAGAAGCAATAAATTCAAAGAGCAGGCAGTAGGTATTGACCTGAACTATAAGCATGACCTCTGAAATATTGGTCTCCAGTTTGTCAACCTCAGCATTCTTGGAACGCGTCCTACCTTCACGAACCTAGATATGAACATTTTAAAAGAAGTCCCAAGAAAATTGGTTTTTTCTATATGATGTTTATTGAAAACAAATTAAATATATCACGGTTCTTATTTCGGTATCAGAGTCTAGGCAATTTGAAAAAATTTCTAGTATTATTTGCAGTTTGCACAAGGATCATACCGTTAATTGACGCCAAAATCCAGTATTGTTCAATCTGTTCCATACAGGCAATTTTGAATTCTGCAAAAATTCTTGAAAAATGGCAGCATATCTGCTACCAATTATGGAAACATTTGGACAGTCCAAAGGTTCCTCAACAGCAGTCACACCCTCCCTGTACACATTTTCCAACTACGGTTTTAGTGGAAAGAACCATAGAAAATAATAGTAACACCTTGTTAATAGCAAACCACCTGAAATTGCCAAGTAAAAATCCAACTGTATGTTTGCCTTGCAAGGAACAACCAACAGAGAATTCGCACTTGTTACGGTACCCATTGACAAGAGGCGACTCAATTATACCCTCCAGTTTGCACGGAAGACCACCTTAATTGGATCACAAGACGTAAATAAAGTAGTTATTGGAGTTCTCCTTTCACCCCATGCATATCAACTTCCAGAGAAATATAGAAAATATGACGAAAGGGAAAATTGTCCAAGAGCAATGCTTCAGCTTTCACCCTCAATTAGCTTCATAACAATTTTTTTTTCTCAACAGATATCCACCAAATGTAACAGGCAAACTTAAAAGTTTTTTGCATAATGTTTTAGTTTAATTATAAAAAATATTTTGCCTGCCTAAACAATGAAAACCCAGTTATATTGGAAAAGTTACCAATACCCTTACATTTACGTGTCATACGAAAGTGCATCTTCAACAGATATACTTGCAGGTTAAATATAAACCTCAAGCGGGATACTCATACTTCGAAAAGATAAGCAAGTTTCTTTATTTGTTAAGCTAAACTCTAAAGGGTAGCATTGTAGATTTCGGCCCTCCATCAATTAAACTACCTAACATTGCAGTAATGTTACCTATTTCTCTAGATTTCATAATCCATTCTGGAAGTGAAACACCATGGGGACAAGCTTTACGTGCATTGCGAGTCTACAAAACAACAAAACAAATTTCAACCCTACAATTAGTACACTGCAACATATATTGCAACAAGAAACAAAGATGATGAGAACATAAAACTTTATTGAAGCAAATCAAGAGAGAGAACTATTTCATAGCAACAGAAAAAGCAGCAAGGATGATTATACTAACTAATCTTCTGAGAATTTGTGCCAGTGAGTTCTTCTTGTGCTCTAGCTGATCCGCATAGGACATGTGAGCAAGAGGAGTCACCACATCACGCGCACTCCTACCCTTTAAAACAGATCCATTGTTTAAACTTCCATCATCGTCAGCCTCATCATTTTTTTCAAACGACCGTGGAATGACATCTGAAACCATTAAAGTTCTGTTATTGCCAACAGTTTTCCCATCTAGCCCCTGTAAGATTAAGAGTGTGAAAATTCAGATAATTTGAACTTCTTGAAATATTCCAACTAAAGCAACTGAGTCTACTACCTCCAAGGCAACCTTGACCTCTGCTGCAGTTTCGAAAGTAACAAATCCAACAGTCATGTTTTTCTTTTTCTTGGCCGATTTAAACGGAATTCCCTGCCATGATAGATTCGTATAAATATTAATACACACATCAAGCACTGCAAATCAACTCGAGCACAAAATCACAACACACCATTGGGAAGTTAGGGGAAGTCTCTAAACCAACTTACACATCATTGGTCCCTATCTTAAAGAAATATCTAATAAAACGAATTACGAAAGTATAGAGCCAAGAAAGTAACCTGTTCACTGAGAAAGTTCCTCAAATTATCGGAACTCCACTTCCTGGGTAAATTCACAATACATTTACCCAAACCAGAAGAAGAGTCCTCCTCGCCGTCTTCCAAGGCCTCCGTCATCATTACACCACCCTCCACTTCCTCCGCCGTTTCCCCATCTTCCTTCTCATGTGTTCGCGCCATCTTCTTGGCCCGCTGGGAAGTGGGGTCCCAGGAGTTGTCGGGCCGCGGGCGGAGCTCCTCCTCGCCGTGAGCATACCGGCAGGACTCGCCGTGGCTGCATGAGCCGCCGGTCTTCCGGAAATATGAGCAAAGGCTCGTTTTCCACAGTGGGTGCTGCTGACGCGGGGCAAGGTCGGACGAGGTTTCCGGGTCGGGTTCAGACTCTCGCTTTCGCTTCTCGGTCAGGATGGCGTCGCCGGCGGATAAATGAGAAGGGCTTCCCGTAGTGTTCGGTAGATCCGAGGAATCGTGGCTGTCCATTTTGTGGGCTAAATGCTTATTAGGGTTTTTGTTGGAGAGAGGGAGTTCAGACTTCAGACTGAGGCTGAGCAATACCGTTCTTTTTTTTTTTTTCTTTGTTCTACAAGTTCTAATAGGTTTTTATTCTTTCTTTCTTCTAACTTGTAAGTTCTAATTGCAACTTCTGCTCTAATTGCAACTTCGCTGCCGGTGTACTGTAAAAAACTTGCTCCACTCAATATTTCGTATGTGAACAGTATGTACTATTCACACTATAATTTTTTTCTTCAAATTTTAATTTTATTATTGATTTTTATTTTTAAATGTTATTTTGATAAAATATACTCCAATAAGATTATTTTTTATATTAAATAGTTTTAAATTTTAAGTCTATAGTTGGATTTAAATTTTATTTTGTATTACTATATTTCATCAAAAGTAAAAAATATAGTACAAACGACTGGAGACAAAAGTTAAAATTTTAGCATTTTCACCGTAATTAAACTATACGCTACACGGGAAATGCTCCCCTACCCACGGTGGACACATGTTAATATGTCCACCGTTTACGTGGCATGCATACATTTGTGATGTTAATATATTAAAAAAATACATCACCAATGTGTGCATGCCACATAAGCGGTGGGCATATTAACATGTGTCCACCGTGGGTAGGGGAGCATTTCCATACACTACAAAGTACAAAGTTTACAATAGGGGGTTGAAGATAGTCAAACTACATTATTTTTTTATAAATGTAAGAGACATTGTAGGGATGTATTCATTTGGGATTCATAAGGTGTTGCTTGGATATAAGGTATTTATTTGTTTTGATTGAGTTTTTTAGTTAACCAAGGTTAATTTTTTGGAGGTATTATCCTTTTGGGATCGGTCATTTTCCTTTGTTGGGTCCTTTGTAGTCGGTTTTTGTTCAGTGTTGTAGTAGTGTTGGTCTAGCGTTGCTAGTGCGTCTCTAGGCGATCTCCGAATATGAAATCTCAGTTTTAAGCTCTTATGGCATGATTGGTATAATGGAATGGAATTTCGTAGGAATTGAATGAATTGAAAAAATTGAATGATTATGGAAATGTAATGAAACACGTTTTGTCATTGATGCGTTTGGTATGCAGAAGGATAAGACCTAAATGGAATGACATTATCATTTTTTATTATAAAAATAAATAAAAGCTTCTTTTAAAAAATTACATATAAGTGCTTTTTTTAATAATATACAAAACTAAAATAATATATTTTTAATACTATATATAAATAAAATAATATATTTTTTAATAATATAAAAAATAATATATTTTAATAATATATAAAATATAATAATATATTTTTATATTATATATAAAAATTAATATATTCTTAATATATAAAAAATAAAGATTAATATATTCTTAATAATATATATTTTTATTTTTTAATTAAACAATAAATAAAAGTAAGTTTTAAATTTTTCTATTTGAATTTTATTTTTTAAAATAATATATATTTAATAATATCCAAAAATAAAAAGAAATATATTTTTCATAATATATATTTTTAATATTTTTTAATAATATAATTTAATAATATATTTTTAAAAGTAATATTTTTAATATATATAACATAATCTATTTTTAATAATATATAAAAATAAAATAATATATTTTTAAATTATATATAAATGATTTTTTTAGTTTTAATTTTATATAAGTATTTAATATATCTAATTAAACAATAAATAAAAATAATTTTTCAATTTTTTTATTTGGATTTTGTTTTTTAAAATAATTTTATTTCACATATTTTAATCATGATTTATAATATATATTATATATTTATTTTTTATTATTATTTATTAATTTTATTTTTTGAAAAATTGATTCCTACACACATGGGAATGAGAAAACACTTCATTAACGGTTAATCCTATGGAGATGGGTTTTGCCATTCCCATTGGAATGGTCATTCCTTTCCAAAAAATATACCAATCATTAAGAAATGAGCAAGAGAATGATCATTCCATTCACATGTCATTCCTTCCTACCAATCATGTCATTAGTTGTATTCATTCAACTTTGGGCTGCTTTCTTTTCGCTCTTTTGTGCGCTTTATAAAATCTCTATCGTTTCGAGAAAAAAAAAAGATTAATTTTGAAAAAGTTGGTCAGATTAGGTTTTAGTGGAATTTTGAGTTTATATTAAAATAATATTTAAAATAAAATAATTAAAGTTGATTTGATGTAAAAGTTGGAGAGAAATTATTGGAAGAGACATGTAATTAAAATAATGTGAATGGATGAACAGTCAATTCAAATTGATGTGATGTGTAAAGATGATTGATTGATATTCTTTAATTATATTAATAATATTGATGATAGTGTAATTGAGTTAAATTTGAATTAGATTTGAGTTGTGATTGGATTTTTTAGAAAAAATTTGTATCTAAGCATGCACTAAAGATTTGATGGGACTTTAAGAATCATTTATACTTTTTAAACTAAGACCTTTAAAATTTCTGAATTATTCTTTTGAAATTTCAGAAATCTTAACCACAAGGTATTTAACTTATTTGACACTAAGATTTATTAAAACTTTTTAAAATTTGCTAAGATTTTATAAACAAAAAATCTTATAATGAATCTCACCACAATCTCAGCTTCAAACATAAGATTTTCAAGGATTCCTCTTAGATCTCAAAATATTAAAAAGTCTGAAACCTAAAAAAAAAATTAAAATGTATCTTAGAATCCCAAATGAATAAACCCCCTAGGTCTTTTTGAGATTTTAAAGATAACCACCATAAGTTAGCTTATAGCTTATTTGGTTAGTTTATAAGCTTGATTTAGTCGCCCGGTTGTCAGTTGCATGCTCGTGACATTCTCGCGTTCGGGAGGCGAAGCACCGTCGGGTTGCGCAGTTGGTGCCTATGCATTGCCCAATCATCGCGTGGACCCTGTGCGCATCTGCGCGTGGCCTCAGCTGGCCCAAACACGCGCTCGCGATTCCTGGGTCTGCCATACTTTGGCGCTTGAGATCGAGATCACGCACAACACCCGCTCGTGGTAATCGCTGCCTGTCTACAAGAGTCGTCCACCGGCATGCCCCTGCCCGCGTCGTCCGTCAACACAAAAGTATGTCGCATACGTCCTGCGCATTGGGCACCGTAGACAAGCTGCCAACAGCCCGCGCACGGCTCTTTGCGACCGGGTGGAGGCGATCAATGCCTAGTTTCGGCTGGTCAGGTCGTCGAGCTTCATCGGTCATCTTGAACACCCGATTTCTTCCACGGTCAATACGAGAAAAAATTAATACAACAATAATTTTGATCCTAGACCCACAGATGGGTTTACATGCTTGTCTACGAAAACAATAAATCTATACAGTGTCCCATCGTGCAAATAAATTTATTATAAGCATTCACAACCCAAAATTCTTCAACATGTCCGAGACTTGAAAATGTACAATTAAATTAAACAAGCATACACAGCCATAAAAGTGGATTTATATATTCCTGCAAAATCAACTTATGCAATAACCCAATTCATGATTGCACTCATATACATGTTAGTCACACAAGTCTTAAACATCCGAACATTGCACAAAAATGAATTATACTAAGTACTTTGATACCACTTGTGAATAACATAATATGAAGTGCCTGCTTATTTTTCTTCGGAAAACACAAGGTTTTTAGAAATAATTTGGATTTTTCAAAAGTGTAACAACTTTAAAAATCTTCGGGCACTACTGAGAAACCTTTATTGTCAATAATCCAAGCCATAATATAATTCCATTCATAAACAAATCTGGAGCCACACAATCAAAGTCTCAACACACAGTCATAAAACGAAATGACACTAAGTCCGGAAAAAGGTTCGCGAAAACAATAAAAAAATGAATAACATATTCTTTGACCACCCTCGACTCCTCGTGACCGCAGCCAACTGCTAAACCTGAAAAATGATAATGTATGGGGGTGAGCAAACAACAAGCTCATCATGGGAAACTATGCAATTATCCATTATAATAACAGATAATATAGTCTCAGCATGAACATAAATCATAACTGTCACCATTTTATCTCCATCCAATCCATCCATATAGTCGTCTCATGTGTACATACTTTTACTGTCGGTTCGTCGTTCATCAGGCGCTCAACGGCAGGATTTGAACTGAATTATCGCCACACAGGCAATGGTTACCACCACAGAGTCAAATTGTTACCGCTACATAGGCACGCCAAACAAACATAGTACCTGGTTCTGGTCGGCCTTAATCTAAGTCACAGTGATGACACGTGCCTTGCCTCTGAGATTCGGCCTCGGCTGGTTCTGTTGCTGCTGCTGATTGCGCTCTGGGCACACATTAGCAAAATGTCCTAGCTTTTTGCAGTTGTAATAGAGGCACGGGGTTGTCCAGCACTCTCATCCATGAGTCTTACCGCAATTGCCACATTTTGACGGTCCGTCTGGCACCTGACTAAACGGATGTGCAAACTGAGCAGGTGGGCGATCGCCACGTCATCCCTTTCCTCCCTGTTTTCCCCTCTGGTGGTCTCGGTGTTGTTCAAACTTCCTTTTGCCAGCATGCCCAGATGGTTGCGCTGCTACTGGCTAAACCATCACTGGCTAGGCTACTTCCTTCTCTAAGCTCTAGCTGGCCGCCACTTGCTAAGCTCGTAGAACTGCCCTAGCGTATGAAAGAATGCCTCTGTTTGGAGGCCATTTATGAAATGTTGGGCCTTCTTCTCTTCGATGTCGACGAGGTGTCCTGCAAAACAGTTAATTCGGATGAATTCCCGCTCATAGTCATCCACCGTTTGGCCGCTCTGGCGTAAGCCCCAGAACTGCCTCTCCATCTGCTCCCAGAATTGCAGTGGGTAGTACCTCTCCTCTATAATCTCCTTCATCCGCTCCCAAGTGAGAGCGTCAAGCTCGTTTGTCGGCCTGAGCCTCTAGTAATCGAACCACCATGCACCAATGTCACCCTCCATCTGGAATTGTGCGCAAATGATCCGCTGTTGCGCAGTACAGGCGAGCACATCAAAAATGCGCTCGAGCTGAGGAACCAATCGTCTATAGCAAACGACCCATCCTGTCCAGTGAAATAGAAGGATGCAAGTAGCAAAACTGGATCACTAGCTGAGCTTAGCTCTGGTGGTCAGGGGGTTATGTTGAACACCGCCTCTATTTCTTCGTCCCCTTGTTGTCATCTAGCACAAGGTAAACTATAGGTTAAACACAATTCAACCCAACTAGAGTTCAAGTCCTTTACATTCAAGGGTAAATCCTATGACACATTATAGAGTCATACCAAAAATCACACAGTGTCACA